TAAGTACTAGCTAAGTAAGAGCAACTTTACTAATAGCCTATTAAGGCGCCTAAACTATAAGTCTAGTACTAATAAGATTAGGTAAGACTTACTCTTAGCCTTAAAAAAGAAGCTAAGAGACGTACTCTTAATAAGAGTTACTAGCTTTATAATAAAAAGGTAATAGATCTTAGCTATAAGAGTAAGATCTCTAGAACTCTTAAGAAGTAAAGACCTTTAAGTAAGATAAGATATCTTAGGCTAACCTAAGCGTTAGTAGCTATAGACTAGGTAAGACGCTATAAGGCTATTAAGTACGCGTAACGTAGCTAAGACCTAGCTTAACCCTATTGTTAAGACTAGTAACTATAGACACCTTATCTTATAAGAGTCTACTAGGTTAGTAACAGGCCTTAAAATAGTATATAACGTACTATTAGAATTAATAACTAACTTAATCTAGAATACCTAATAAAAAGACGCTTTTATTTAAAGAAAAGGATAAGAATTAATACTAATACATAAGGTATACACTAGTACTATAAAGAGGTAACAAGGCCTTAGTAATAGTAAGACTACCTTAAGAAGGCAATAAGGCCTTAGTAGTAATAAGACTACTATAAGAAGCCTATAAGGCCTTAGTAATAAGATAAAAAAAGGGTAATAGAGCCTAGACGCTTAAATTTAAGGTAATATTATAAGAGATAATATAAGTAAAGAACTTAAGGATAAGAGAGATAACTACTTAAGGTAGTACATTAACTTAACAGGTCTACTTTAGTATAATAGCTAGGTCTATATCTTAGAAAGTAAAGCCTTAAGGAGTAAGATCCTTATAATTAACTATAACGACCTAATAGTAAGGTACTTTAGTACTACTAAGATACTAGAGCTTCTCTAGTATAAATACTTTTAGTAAGGTATATACTATAATGTTAAAGAATAGGTTAAGACTTATATAGTTTACTAAAAGACTAAACCTAAGAGGTACTAGCTATATAGTAAGTTAGTACTACTAGAATAGCTAATAAGGCCTTAGGTATAGATTTTAATAGATTTTATTATAGGCTTACCCTTAAGTAAGTTTAATAAAAAAGTATTTAACTTATGTCTTATAGTTATTAATAAGTATATAAAGGTAGTACACTATATCTTATACTATAAGACGATTATAGCTTTATAACTAGTAGAACTCTTTATATACTATATAGTTAAGGATTTTAAGACTTTAGAAAAGATTATATTAGATAAGAGCCCTTAGTTTATAAGTAAGTTTTAGGCCTTCTTATGTTTTTACTTAAAAGTAAGGTACTAGCTTAGTACTACCTTTTACTTATAAAGTAATAGTTAGACTAAGGTATAGAACTAGATAATTAAACACTACTTTTAGGTTTATATAACATATAAGTAAGACGACTAAGTATTAAAACTTACCTTAGCTAAATTTATATATATTATTATTGTTCTTACTGTCTATGCCTACTACATGCAGAACCTCTATACTACATAAATCACGTAGTAAAACCGTACTAAAGCCAGGTAAAAACCTACGTACTACTACTTGTGTTTACACTATTATAGCGCTACTAAGGCGCCAGGTCCTTATCGCTACCCTACTAGAACTTAACCTTCTAGCCTAGTAATACTAAACATACTAACAAGACGCTAGTAAAGCGCTAGTAGGGCGCCGGCTACTAGCTAGGGCTACTCCCTCTCTTGTAACTCCTCTACTAGGTAGCGCTTAGCCAGACAGAACTATAGGAATCGGCCGGTAGATAGTAGCTAACAGATTAGTATACAAGCGCTCTTGCCTTTCTTTGTTACTACTATAAAGTCGCGGAACGTCTATAGCGCTCTTAGGTAGAGCGCTTACTATAAGGCCTGCTACTATTGATCTAGCTACTAGTAGTCGAGGACTAGGTAAGCTACTGTCTCTAGGGCCTTACTGTAAGGGTACTAGAGGGTCGCTACCTCTAGTACTCTACGCTTAAAAAAGAAAGCCCGGAGTCTAACTTTACTAGTACAGATCTGTGTTAAAAGAGAGCTCTTGTACTTATAGAGGAGTAGGTACTTCTTAAGGGCATCTGCCGAGGAGGCAGGTAGCGCGGCCGGGGCGGCGCCCTGGCGGTGTGCCGGCAAGTAAATTTATATATAATAATAGTATATACTCTTTAATAAGAGTAACCTTATTCTACGTACTATATAGATTCTTACTAAAGATCTAGGTTAATATTAAGGACGACATTATAAAGAAAGAGGTAGTAGTAGTATATAAGAGAGTAAAGTAGATTAAGAAAGAAAAGGTAGTACTAGATAAATACTAGTATAACACTATTAAAGTATAAAAGAGATTCTATAATAAGAAACGTAAACCTATATCCTTTTAAGTAAGTAATAAGGTAATACTCTTAACTAAATACCTCTAAGTTACTAGGCCTAATAAGAAGCTATTAGATTACTACCTTAGCCTTTTTAAAGTTACTTATATTACGTTAAACAAGTTAGCCTATAAGCTTAAGTTACTCTTAGTATTTAAAATCTACTTTATGTTTTATATGTTTTTACTAGAGCTATACTACTATAGAGCTAGCGCGACACTAGAGCTACTTAGCCTAGACGTTATAAAAAAGTAAAAAGAGTTTAAAGTAGAATTAATTCTAGTATATAAAGAACAAGCTATAAGAAGGTAATATTTAGTAAGATAAAAGAAGTATACTCTTATAAACAATACATAAGAGCTAGTAAGAAACCTTAGAAACGCTATAGACGTAGTCTAAGAGTATAAAAAAGTAGTACTAATTAAGGACTAAGGTAGTATTATAAAAGAAAAATACTAGAGAAGGCGTAAGTTATAGTAAGTAGTTAGGTTAAGAACAGTTATTAATTTAGAAAAGAAAAAAAAGAAAAAAGGTAAAAATAAGTCTTAGTTATATACTAGTAATATATACGTATAACCTAAGCCTTATAACTATATAGCCTAAGACTACTAGACTAGACTACTACTTATTATTACTATTATTATCCTTATTATCCTTTATATTATTATTATTATTATTATTGTTATTACTATTATAAGGATCTGTCTTAGTAACAGGTAAGAGGTTAGACTAACTAGGGTTAGTAAGTACTAGTAAAGTAAAAGAGACACTTACGTTATGTTAATAAGTATCTATTATAACATTAATTAAGTAGTAAAGACCTTATAGTACGTTAACTATAATTAGGACGGCTTTAGTAGTAGTACGTAAGGGCTATAAGAGGCCTTAGAGATAGGCTTAGTAAAAATAGCTCTTAATATACTAGGTAAAGAAGCGCTAGTAAGGCCTTAGCTTTACCTTAAGAGTTATAGAGTAAGTAGAGATAAGATTAGCTATAATAGTAGCTTTAGCGTAATTAGACAAGAGAAGTAACTTGTTAAGCTTAGTTATAAACTCTTATAAGATCTTATAATAAGCTTTATACTTAGTAATATATTAGTTATACTTAGTCTAACTTACTTAAGTAATATAAGTAAGCCTAGGCTTAGCCGCTTATGTCTTTATATAGTAGACGTAGTAAGTGTAAAAGAGGCGTAAGAGTATACCTTATAAGTATAGAGGTAAGTAGGGTTAGCTATAGTAAGGTAGTATTATATAAAGTAAAAAAAAAGGTTAAAGAGAAAATAAGAAAAGGCGTAAGGTATAAGGTAATAGCTTAAAAAAAAAGGCTTAAAAAGGGTAGTACTAAGAAGGTATAAGAAGTAAGGCTACTTAATTTAGAAAGAAAAGAAAAAGAAGGTAAAAGAAAGAAAGTTTGTCTCTTTATATACTCTTCTTTAGTAACGTATTATAAGATACTTACTAATAACATAATATAAATATTTAGTAAGGCTCTATAAATAATTCTTTACGTTAAACAAATTCTTACGTAAATAAGATACTATAAGTAAAGAGCGGCTAAAGCCTTTATTATATAGCTTATTAAGAACGTACTAGCGCGAATCTAGTATAATAAGCGTACTACTATAAGTATAAACAAAGATAAAAGGTAGATAAAAGAAAGAGATATTCTTTCTTTCTTATATTTATACTATATTATTTTAAGGTTTTAGAGTAAGAATAGTCTATATATAAGGTAAGAGCTATAAAGAGAGGTATAAGGCTTACTTAGTATAGCCTTTACTTATCTTAGGTACGCGCTATAAAAGAAGAGCTTAGCTATATCTAGTATAGGTTTTACGTAACTTTAGAGAAGCGCTATATCTAGTATAGCTTATACGACTCTAGAATAGAGCTATAAGAAAGAAAGGTAATGTTAGGGACTTAAAGGGGTAAGATTAGGAATACGTAGGCCTTACGTACTTATAAGTACGCTAGGGCTACTTAAGGTTCTTAAGTAGTATATATATATCTTAGAGAGTAAGGAGTAAGAAAGAGAGGTAAGAATTAGTTTAGATTTAAATTAAAGTATACTATAACTCGCTAGCTACTTAACTGTAATTCTTTACTATATTACCTGTAATACTAATCTCTAACACTTAGGCTTATAACTATTAGATAAAAGAGGTTATATATTACTATAAAGAAGTAGTAATAACAGGCGAATTTAAGTTAGTTAGAAGTAGATTAAATTAAACTAAATTAAATAGAATAAAAAGTAGTCTCTTATTTTATATACTTAAAAAAGGGGTTACTATTTACATGTATAGGCGCTATATCCGCTATAAACAAGGTATGTAGGTACCTAAGTACCTAAATCCTAACAATACTATAAACTATTAAAAATAGGGTATAAGGGATCAATCCCTATATATTGATTAAGGATTAGTTAGTAATCAAGGGAACGTGTTCCGTAACCCGGTAATTGATCCTGCTGTTTGACAGAAACTACTTGACGTGTACATAGGTCAACGGCGCATACAGGTGACAGGCCCATTAGCTCTATGGTAACCCTTCGCGTCATTCAGGAGTTTATGGCATTATAAGCCAGACGCGATGTTGGCCTGAGTGCGCCGTTGACCTATCATAGTTTACCTATGCATACGTCTATATTCCTTTTCGCTCGGCAGTTTTCACATTCATTTTGAAAATAATTGAGCCATCTTCTTGCACTACACCGTGTTTAAGGTACCGTTGCGAGGAGTATCTGATGGGCATTAGTAAGTTGGATAGACTTTTGCAAATAACAGTTATTGGCCTAATGGCGGGAGTGGAAATAGAAGTGGAGAATACGAACGGGTGTTGCAGGCAGCAAAGGACAATATGTTTGATGCCCTCTATAAATTTCTTGATTGCAGGGAGTACCTCAGCATTGGCATCCGCGTAAAGTCTATTTTCCGCGTCGAGGATCTTTACAGATGTATCTCGAACCATTTGGCCTGTGGAGTCCATTGCGTCTTGGACTGAGACACCCCGGTGGTACATTGTTAGTGGAATCCAGCTTTCAAACTGGCCCGCAACCTTGCAAGATGTTAGGCTTCATGGTTGTAGGCAGTGGAAATAGAGACTTACTAGTTCTTTAGGAAGGGAGACCATGTCATTGGTACTACCGCAAAATTCCCTAATTAGATACGTTTCAGCGGGTGATAGAATATCTGTAAGCTTACATGAATGCTATCAGGGCTGATTGATACCATATTATTTGCATGTCCTTGTTGGTTTTCCACCACTTGTCTGGAATGCTCACATCATAGGCATATCTAAAGTTATTTTAGTACAAGCTTCACACGCTATCATTGAAAGACGGTTCTCATCAAATACATACTCAAGTAAGACAATATACGGGTAGAAGCCTACATTCAATGATCTTCTTGTCAGATAGCTTGTCAATGCGGGTACATCGGGCTGTACGCGCTCTTTCTGGCACTCGGCTGTCGAAATCACCCAAATGCGGAACTCTTCAGCAAAGCGGCTAGTGGTCACTGTACTATAATGTCAGCTATCAATGTTGAATATTGAGAATTACGGGACGGGAACTTACGTGGATTAGAGGTTTCTTTGATCTCATATGCAAAATCCTTGAAGGCCTCGATGGCAGGGTCGGGATGGGTCAGAGAGAGAGTTTGTATTCCAGGTTCGAAACAGTCATTGATGAATCCAAGTGTCTCGTCCTGATACCTGAGTACTCCCTCGATGTCATGTGTAAATTTCCCGTCGTCGATGGCGTCGTCCCAGACAAATGTCTAGGTCGTCAGCTGGCACGTTCCAACGCAATAAATGAATATGGAATGCATGAACTCACCCAAGCAAGACACTTTCCAATCACTAATAGCTTGTCATATGGAGTCCTTGGATATGATAACGCAGTCCAGAGAGCGGGGTCAAGAGATTCGAGCATGTATCGAATTCTGGGATCGTCCCACCAGCTGAAGCACGCAAAGACTTGTCAGATCACGGCATAATAACAAATTAAAATCAGACAGAAAGTACCTGTTACACCACGCAGCCAAGTCTCTGCCGAGCCGCTCATACTCAGGATGCTTCTCGAGGACCCATCCCGGGTGGATAGTTTTCAGGCTCGGTACCACACGCTGCTGACCATTCAAATGGTCAAACTGGGCTGCCAGGGCATGCTTTTCTTGATACGGCTCCGCAAGCATTTCTTGATAATTTGTGTAAGACTGAGAGTTTGGTACAAAAAATAAATCAAATCAAGCGAGTAGTTCACGACTTGAGAGTACACAATATTGTTCCTTCCCCCGTAGAGAGGCAAGAAGGTATGTATTTAAACAGATAGCCGCCAGTATAATTCACTCGATTGACTATCTCCGGAGATCATCTCCGCTACTAAGTGAAAGGCAAGATACTTTTGCCATGACGTCGTCCGAGCTTTTTCTTATTGGAGAGAATACGGGAATACAAGGACATTTTCCTTTTTAGGAAGAGACCATAGGTCCATAGTTGCAGCTTCTCGATAGCCTTGCGATCAGAGTAGCGGGGATTTGATAACCTTAAATTTAGTATGGATCTGCCTGCAGTAGCTCTCATCCAGAAACAATCAGACTGATAGTCGCGGACATGATTGTTTTTGATTGAACGTGCAGTGATGATTCGCTTCTGTGAACCTAATCTACCATTGTGGCCGTAACTCGAGAGCTTGGGAGGGCGGGAATGTACATCACGGGAGGGGCCGTAGAGAGGCGCATTACTGATGCGCGAAATCGACGATCTATAATTGACAAGATCGACAATCCAAGTAAAGTGACATTGGCAGCGGAGGCCTACCTTAGGCCTACTCACGTATTTATCAAGATACACATCATCGTCCAGGGTCGACAAAATTCACACGACATAATCGAATAATAATGATCGAGGTGGTCACTGAAGGCGAGACCAGGAACGTCACTAAGCACACTGGAGCAGCACCTGGGCTGCCCTAGAAGAAGGTCAGGCGGACCAGCCGCTCTCTAGTTATATTTAACAAGGAAAGTAAAAGAAACAAATATAATAGAATAAGATGTCAACCAAATCCGCCCCGCCTTATATCTTTCTCTTGATCGATATCCAACAAGGGCTCGTCTAAGGGTGTTGGGCGCACGTGACCCACAAACCCCATTGTATCTAGACTCTAGACTCTCCCTCTCTTCTAGGGAATAGACACACCGTACCTATCAAACTGTAAATCCTACAAGTAACGGGTACCCGTGTCCCTACATAGTAGCAATACCGTGTTACGTAAAAAAGGCCTCTAAAAATTTTTTGAGCCCGGATCCCCGCAAATTCGCAGACTCGACCTATTTTATCTAACCCTACCGACACTAACACTATCTAACACTACCTGACCCTACTAACCCTACGACTAAACGAACTTACGGGACTAATGCCCGCCAAACATAAGAAGGCACAGAGGTATTAGGATCTACTTACCGGACGATTCGCTAAGGCGCCTACGGATTTGTTAACGCCTGCGGATTCGATACTACCCGGCTTAACGCCTACTGACTTAACGCCTACTATTAGCCCTAGCACACCTTCTAGCGCTACTAACCCTTCTACGCTACTAGCCCTATAAGGAGAGAGATTTTAGACAGCCTACCCTAAGGCTATTAGATTCCCTATCCTAGGATCCTCGGATTTCGAATAGCACTACTATAAATACACTAAGGACAGGCTGTAGAAGGACTAACTAGGTAAAGAGAAAGAACAGGAATCTAGTCTTAATCTTAGACTTAACGTTAACGTTTCTCTTAACGCTAACGAATCTAACAACGTAGCTACTAACAAATCTAACGACACGACTAAAATTAGCCCTATTAATAAGGTAGAGACTAGTCCTAAACCTTAGCTTTAGTCTCTTAACGCTTCTAAACCTTAACTTTAATCTTCTAACAAACCTTAACTAGAACCTTACCCTCTTTATAGCGATAATAATAACGCGACTAGTTCTAAACTACTTTACTTTCTTACTAATAATACCTTTTCTACTAAAGCCTCTAAACCTTGTTTTTTTAATAATACCCTAAGCATAAGAGATAGACCGCCCTAATCTTAAGCTTGATTTTTAATACCCTTAAGTATAGGACAACGTCCTCTCTAATTGTTGTTTAATATCTAATTACCTTTTAATATACAAGGCTAAAGAACACTACCTCTTGTATACCTTAGACTACTATATCTAGAACAAAGAACACAGGTACTACTTATAGTAGCCCCTTTATTTTCTAATTATACGTTAACGATACGTCCTTAACCCTTACTTTTTACCCTCTTATAGTTCTCGTGTTACTATATTAGGACTAACCTTCTTAGTTAGGACTTAGACACTAAAGAGGACAATAACAAGAGACAAAGTACAAACTAATCCTTATTACAATCATCCTTATTCTAACTACAATCCTCTTTATTCTAACTAATACTATTATCTCTAGACGTCTCTTAGGTTAGAGACTAACTATCGTAGGACCTTAACCTTATAGCGCTCTTAACGTAGACTCTTAGTATAAACGGCAGACTGTCTAGTAGTGGCGGAATAGCTAATAAGGACAGGGTAGGCGGCTCGGCCGTAGGTAGGATTCTATAGTAACAGACTATGTATACAAATACGAGTTAGCTAACTAATACGGCCCTAATTAAGGTAGTATTAGACGCTATAGAGGAAGACTAGTTATTCTTAGCTATCTAGGGCCTAGTATCCCCTACTAACGTTTAGATAGTAAAGGCGCTTTTAAGGATAGTAAGTACAGAGGTTAAGGCTAAACTCTTACAGAAGGCGGTCGCTTAGGCTAGCGTACCTAACTTGTTAACTACCTTTATAGCTATATAGAACCTTTTTATAGGACGCTTCTAGTAAGGCCTAAATATATAGACTACTAGAAGGAAAGCCTAGACAGTATAAGATAGTAATACTACTATTAAGAATAAAAAGATTAGGACAGCCGACCTAAAATATAATAGAAAGACTTCTATAGTGTCTTATATTAATCGTCTTAAGTACTTTACTAGAACGTTTAGCGAAAAGGTAGTTCTAGTAGAGCTACCTTTAGCTATAGTTAGAGAAGTACATCTATAGTTTAATAGTCTGTTCTTATATACTAGGATAAAAATAAATTATTCCTTAATAGAGTAGACTTCCTAACTTTAGGGACGTTTCTAGTAAGACTCTTTAACTACTCTTATAGAGGTAGACGCTCTAAAGTACTGTTTTACTAACAAATTAGTCTACGATATACGACGTTACTTAATAGTAAAACAAGGACTTTATATTAAGGTAGGTAGGTTTTCTAAAGACCTAATTATTTGCCGGATATATAAGGGTTTAGACTATTAGCTCTGTACTACTGTCTATATCTAGGAAGGGATAAGAATAAGCTACTTTTAAACAGTAGTATATACGGCTAAGACCTTATGTTATAAGAACTATAAACAGATAGCTAACATAATTAAGGATTAGATTCTTAAAACAAATAAGGACAAACGCGACGGTTCTCGCGAGTAGTTACTGTCGCGTAATCCTAACCTACGTCTAAGGTTCCTTTTCTAGCTACTAATATAAGCGCTATACCTCTCTTACAGATTATCTTACGCTCTTGTCCCCTTGCCTTTTTTACCTCTAGCGTACGCGCCACTACTACTACTACTACTAGTAATACCCTTATATACATCCTAGCTAGCCCTACTACTAGCTCTTGGCCTAGGTCCTACTACTACTACTTTACGATATATTCTATAACAGGCCGCTTAGGTATTAGTATCTAGGGGTAACGCTACGCCTAGGGACAGTAGTCTAGTTTCTAGTAACAATAATATAAACAGTAATATAGTACTAGGGGGACGTTGTCTATAGTACCCTTATACTTTGTGCTAGAGTCCTGACTATATTAATCCTGTATGCCTGTTATACCCTTAAAATTAACGACAGGTAGTAGCTACGGTTCTAAGCTACTATAAGAGATACTAGGTATATTAACCTGTAGTGTATAATAGGTACGGCTAGCCAGGATATTATAGAGAATACCCGCTAACTACCGCGTACTATACTAAAGCCCTAATAGTAAAGAAGTATGTTTAGGTTAATAAAGACACTTACTAGGCATAGGTCGACACCTTCTATACAACGTCTATAACTATAACTCTAGATTAGGAAGGGAAATCTAAGACTGTTCTTAACACTAGTAATATAGAAAACGCGTCTAGCAGCTACTAAGAGGTAGTGTCTTACTAATTTAATATATCGATAGCTAAACCCTTATTACTAAGAACTCTACTTAGAACCCTGTCTAAAGGACCCCTAGTAACAACAGCCTTAACTTAACTAAAAAAGACAAAAACAAGAAAAACACTAAAAAACCTACACTTAAAAAAGAAGATACTAAAGAAGACACTATTAATATTAATACGTTGCTTAAGAGTTTTAAGACTACATTAAGACCTACCAGATTTACGACCACGACTATTTCTCTGTCTACAACCATTTCTCTGTACGCGACTATCTCTTTGTCCGCGTCCGCAACCATTTCTCTGTACGCGACCATCTCTTTGTCTATAAAGGCTTTCCTGACCGTAAAGGCTTCTAACCAGATCCCTATATCCTTAAATAAACCTAACTTACTAAAAGGAGCCGACTAGGTCCTAAATTCCAATTCTAAGGAGCCTAAACCCTTTGTTACGAACGCGTACTTACTTAATAGAGTCTAGTACTAGTATAACGTTAGCGCTCGCGTAACAACGTTTACGCTAGATAGCTCTTTCTTTATAGCCTGCCTTAATACTAGATCTCTTATTGCCCTAATATCTAAGTAGATACTACAAAAACATTTTCTTAATACTCTTTTAGTATAATCCTAGTAACTAGTTTGACTTTCTAGTATTAGGGACAGTCTAATTACTAGTAGTTTCGTGACTATTACGATATCCTTCTAAACGACTAAAAACACTCTCTATAGTTTTACTACTAAAGCTTACGTAGTCGACTAACTAGGATGTAGTTTATTACTAGGTAACGCCTTCCTTAAGGTAAATTAACTAGATGTCATCTAGGCAAAGGCCTCCTAAGATTTCGACTATCTTTAGTACAAGGATAAACAGTTCTAAATCTTAGTAGTAGCCCTTTTAGTAAAGACCTTACGCGCTCTAATTTATGTTCTAGAATTAGTAGTAATCT